TTGTTAGGACAATGGTAATAGAGGACTCTATCCCGATGTTTACATACAAATATTGTTAGGACAATGGTAATAGAGGACTCTATCCCGATGTTTACATACAAATGTTGTTAGGACAATGGTAATAGAGGACTCTATCCCGATGTTTACATACAAATGTTGTTAGGACAATGGTATTAGATGACTCTATCCCGATGTTTACATACAAATATTGTTAGGACAATGGTAATAGAGGACTCTATCCTGATGTTTACATTCAAATGTTGTTAGGACAATGGTAATAGAGGACTCTATCCTGATGTTTACATACAAATTTATGTTGTTAGGTAATGGTAAAATAGGACTCTATCCTTTTATGTTCACAAAGACTTTGTCATGACAAAATACAAATCGGTATCTATGCTATTTTGCGCAAGCACATTTTCAATCGCAACAACTAGGATCTTACTGTGTACATTTGTCAAAACATCAAAGATGAAAACTAGATCTGAACGCGTACTTACAGTTTTTGTTTCCTCAGACAAACACAGAGAATAACCGCCCCTACTACAAGTATAGCAGCAGGAACTCCGACTATATACGGTATAAACTCTGAAATACGAAAAGTTTAAACGTTATCATTCGTTATTGTATAATTATGTGATTTGATTGTTCAAGTCGGTGACAAAAATTAAAAGTTCATTTGACACCAGAAATACAATTAAAGACTTGGTATTTTCAATGAAAGTGCAGACAAAGGCAATCTGACCTTTATCAAGACACAAACATGAAATAAATACGCAGTTAAAAAATCTAATAAAAGATGAATATGCTTATATTAAAGCATATCTCATCAGCAGGCCTGGAGCCAAATGACATAGAAAATCATCTTTGTCTACTTGTACGTATTGGTGGCACGCAGGCCCACTGTGACCCATTCCATGACAGTTTGAGGCGACCAATGCGAACCCTCTGCGGAATGATTACTTTCCTACTTTCCTACTTAACCAATGGAATGTACAACTTTGTATATATATTTTAACTTTATCTATGGGACCGATACAAATCATAGACTGAAAAAAATGTCACTCCAGTCGTACATTTATATTATAATTTGTTATCATTTAACAAAAGCTATATTGATCTTTGATCATTTCTATGTTTTTGAATACATTATGTTTCGTCAATGAAATAAAATAACGGAACTTTGTTTCAAGGTATGGTCATTTGAGTTCTTGGTCTGAAGCTGATGTGAATAGTTTGCTTGTGATAAGCGTCGTATTGACAAGAATAACAAGGCGTCATAATTAGAGCACGCACATGGTGTTGTATCTATTGTAATATATGAACGCTCTTTGGATCAAAGATATGAGTGGTCGATAATAAAGGGAAATAAAGTGGGATAAGAAATTGATAACATGTTTGGAGAAAACAAGAGGAAACAAGAGGAAACAAGAGCTACCTTCGAGGTTTATTGGTGTAGATGTTGATGAAGTCGTGACACCAGGTGGTGTTTCCGTAGTTCGCTGTGTTGTTGATGGCTGCGAGGTTTCAGTTTTAACTGTCGTTAACTCGTGGAGGCTCTCACACTCTAGATATAAAAACGGTATTGTATTGCTATATTTTACAGTGTAATGCGGAACATACAATGTAAATAAACATAAAGGTTAAAATCAGCCTCGAACGTATCCGATTTTGTACATCGGAAATAAATAATGAAAGCACCACTAGTTATAGTATATATATAGTTTACTTTAACTTCACCGTTGAAATATTAAACATGGAATTTTAACATTGATCAGAATCAATTTCTTACATTTTAAGTAAAATCTCTTAAAAACACCGTGTAAATGAGAAGAAAATGAAAACATGTATAACTAGACTCATGTCTATGATACAATTAAAAGTAATCCTGATCATATTCATCACAAATGCTAACGGTCAAACCATTGATATATAGTTGATCTAAATGCGTCATTTTCTAAACAATTTCCTTATGATAAAGCGACCAGTTGTTTGGTGATTCCTCTTGATTAAATTATTTTCTGTGTTGGACGCAGCACATACATGTATTTATATTTCAAACTAATACGGCATTGTTTAGAACTTTCATCCTATTGGTCAGACACATCACGTGTTCACGTAGTCAGGTATCGTGTTTATAAAACGTCAAGTGTAAGCCTACAAGTGGTCAAACCTTTCTACGCCACTTAACGTAGGATCACATAGTTAAATACAGAAATGAGCAGGAGATGACCAGTGGCAAGAGAGATTCATTACAAACTAGACAATATCAACTTTAGTCGTAAAGTTAACTTAAAGGTTCATAATTGTTTTGCTCAAAACAACAATCAGAAAAAAGAAATAACGGCATACACAGTCTGTAAATTACTACATGATTGACCAGGAAATAATAAACGTATGTGCTAGTATATGGGTGGAATATGTTACCGAAGGTAATTAAGGACATGTTGGTAAAAACAATTAACGAAGGCCACTTACAGCCTGAGTTCGCGGCCTGAGTTAACTATTTTTTTCCCCAAATATTCGAATACTGTGTTCCCTTTTTCCACCATAATATACAAACAGATGTTAATCATATCTATTAAACCAAGTAAAATATATTGAAAATCTTTTTCGTGTTTACCTCAGTGTCTAAACCTAAGATAAGCAAGGTGATCTAGATAATCTAATTACTGTCTACCGGGGAATTTTCGTTACAGTTTAACTTTTTTTTTTTGCCCTGTGTAATGTGGGCGAATTTATCATTACAGCAAACGTCAGTCAACAATACAATATACATAGTAATTAAATGTGAAAGGCGAAATGAACACTAGGCGAAGATGAATTTTACAGGCGAAGGGCAAAAGTTAGACTGGGCAAAAATGTCTGGTATACAGTGATTTCAAAATTAAGCTGTTCTTTTGCGAGCGCTAAAATTTGTCACACGATGTCTATACGCTTATTTCCTTTCCCAACTAGCGACACGTTTTATCCCTTGTGACCATGTGGACAGTTGTCCTATTTTGTGTATTAAACCAAGATATATTTGAGAGGACTTTTTATGTTCAGTCGCCGTTTGGCCAACAGAGGATACACACAGACGTCATGCTTTGTACCAGATGTTTATTTCAATCAATCAAATCCACCAAATCTATCGACATCGCTCGTCAACACATGAAATCAGCATTTGACGGATTTACAAACACTATTTCGAGTCACCTTCTCGGTAAGTTAAGTAGAACATCCTGACCGCCAGTTCGACAGCTTTAGGTAGATCTAGATGTTAGATAGAAACCTTTCTTTTTCTGTCCGCTAGAAAGTCTTCAAATACATACAAAATTAAATGTTGTAATTTGACAAACGAAACTAGTCCCGCGGTTCACTTATTTACGTTTGCGGTGGAGAGTTTTGGAAGAGCGATGGTCTGTTGGAAATTAATACATGGACGTGCATAGTCATCATCCAATAATAAATGGTTATTCACCAAAATGTCGGTATATGATATCTTACAAACATCTGGAATTTAAAGTCAATGTCTACTGAATACAAGCTCTATACAAACTTACTTTCTTGGGTGCATTTGGTATTCAAAGCGTCAATATTGTCAAGGGCTATTATGCTGTATACATCCCTTCCCATGGAAGCTACAAATGATATCTGCAACAATAAAAACCACGAACACCATGCAACTTTATCACCAATGAACGGTCCTCAGCGGGGCAAATGTACAGATACAAACTAAGGTTCGTGACAGTGTTAGAGATAACTTTTACCGTTATGGCTAGTTCGAATAATGTGTTGTGTTCAGAGAAAACAAAGACTATTTAAAATATGTATTACATGTATCATATGTAATATACGATCTCAGATAATTGCTCACCACAACAGGCACTTGAGATCGATGGAACAGAACAAGCCCGATGTATAATAGATACGTATCGATAATTGTATTGATTTTTAGCCAACTATCATCAGTTGGTGGGATTTTCAAATCGCCTGTCGTCCATGGTGCGTGGTTCACTGTCCGTCGTTCGTCCTTAAATAATTCTTGTTATCGCTATTTCTCATAAAGTTCAGGAGTGAATTTTCTTAAAATGCATATGTCAGTCCCTCTGATCCTTTTGTTTTCGTTTCGACTGACCAAATAAAAACCATGACCGACAGGCAGCCATTTTGGATTTGGATAGTTCAGATTTGGTATCGTTTTTTCAAAGGAAGTGTTTGAAGGATCTTTCTCAAATTTGATATATAGGTTCCCCTTGGTCTCAAATTATACATGTTTACTGTTGAGACTGATTGAATTAACAAAATGGCCGACTGGCAGCAATGTTTGATTTTGACAGTTTAATATTTCCTCTATTTTTCAGAAAGCTTTGGAGGGATTTTTCTCAAATTTGATATGTAGGTTCCCCATTGTCTCGAGTTGTGCAAGTTTTCTTTTGAGAAATATATAGCAAACACAAAATGGCAAACCGGCAACCATCTTTAATTTTGAGAGTTAAAGTTTGTTATCGCTATTTCTCAAATTTTATATGTTAGTTCCCCTTGACCCCCTTTTAAAAAATAGCACTGGCAATAAACAGAATTCACGCTTCATTGATATCACTTCTAATTAAGTCCGAAATACACATTTTTAGCATTTTGCATTAAGTAATGTAATTCTTATACAATCACATATAACATTGCAAGGTTTATTTATGTATACGGTTCCTATTTAGTATTTCCAACATTGGACTGAAGGTAATAGTACCTTGAAGGGAAATGAAGAGCAAAGAAGGTACAACAGATCATCCTTTGTAGATCTGATTAAAATCCTTTCATGGTGTGCGCCAAGGTTCTTTCTTGGATCTCTTGTTAGACAGAGTACTGTGAGACATGTAACGACAATGCTACCAGGACCATGGACCATAAACTATGTATACATGTATGTACTGATCAAGACAGAATGTCTTCAGCGGTATTGATATAGGGGTCAATTATATATATATATATATACCTCAGATTGCGATGAGTTTATATCAACTGTAGCACAATGCCATATATTGCTTTGATTTCCAGACTTAGACCACACAACCTCATCGTTCAATAAAACATCCAGTCTTCCCATCGTCTCCCCAAACATGTGGTACCAGAAGCGCAGACAGATGTCACCGGAGCCGGCGGGCACCATCAAACTATCCCTGCTGAGTCTTCCCGTGTGTGTTTCCCCGGCCATAATGTTATTTGTGTCCAGATATATGTAGAAATCTTGCAAGACATCGTTTAATAAACATGTAAATTAGAACACCAGCTTTAAAATAAAAATTTAGTATATATTTACTTCGTTGTATTATTGCCACAAGCCAAATTTTATACAATGTTCGTTATTTTAACTGGATTCCATTGATTACTTTTTTGCATGTCAGTTACAATGTATGAATTTTGAGATTTAGATTGATATAGTGCTCTCCCCTGATGCTACCATGCAATTGCACTGCTGTTGTATGAGAAAACTATGCGGCAAATACTTACGGCCGTTCTCGGCTTGCCTTGGTCCACTTTTGTTAGTGGTAGCTAAAGCGTTTGGATACCGCGATCGAGTCAAATTCACAGCAATCCATTCACATAGATCATTTTCGAAGCTGCATGCAGTATCTGAAAAGAAATCAACTTCCAAAGATAAAAAAACCGTATGTTTATATACATTATTGAACAGGTATAATTATTCTTCAAATTACATTCCACAAAAGCTTGGTTCGGTTAGTTTGGTTTAGTATTGTTTAACGTCCTTTCAACAGCTTTGCTCAATTAAGGACGGTCCACAAAAAGACAATCCAAGACAATAGTTAGGAGCGTTAACAATTGATGTAACATGTACTTGTTGTATATTCCATTCTGATATAAAGAGAGGGGTCATACAAGAGCATATGAAATGTAACAAACTATTTCTTAAACTAAAAGCAGGTCACAGCATTTCGGTAAAGACTTTTAAGAACAAAAGAACACCTGTTATAGCTAGCTGTCAACCCTGGTTTCAGATTATACAACTATTGATCGGAGCTACTATTTGACAGAAACAGTTTAC